TGTTGCCTCCTGGAATTTGATGCTAAACCCACACAACCCACTACAAAAATAGATCACCGATGGAGGAAGGAACCAACAAACACAATGCAATCCATGAGAAGTAACGGTGCTGAGACATGTCACTCAAATAGAAACAGGATTAGAGGAGATGCCTGGGGAGAATGCTGCTGCTGCTGCTGCTGCTGCTGTTACTGCTTCTGCTGCTGCTGCTGCTTTTGCTTCTGGTGTTGCTGCTGCTTCTGCTTCTGCTGCTGCTGCTGCTGTCCTCTTTGAGGGACACTGGACACATAGCCAGTGTGGATACAGTTTATTGATGTGATAAGGGGGATGAAGGGCCACAAAGTCAGTGAAGCCAGACAAACATGCCACATTCATTAAAGGCTTTCTTTAAAGGGACTGATGCATGACATTGGCAATACTGAAGACCATTTGTCAAGGCTTAGAAAAGATGTCATTTCCCTGTGGCCAACACTGGTCAGCTGTTGCTGAGACACTTTGAGAGGAAGACAATACATTGCACCCAGTGTCCCTAATGTTCTCAACAGCAGCATGTCTGTTATGACCAACAGGCCAAACCTCACAGAGTTTTTAAAGAAAACTTCAGAGGTTACAGTGTTTTATGTACACTGTACTTTGGCTATTTTTATGATCTGGTTCGACCATGCAGAAGGGGCTGCCTGTAGTTCTGTTCTTACCTGGACAGAACCCAACATGGCAGAGGGCAGTCCAGAATGGAGGATGTGGTCTGGTTGTCATTGTCTTCTCTAACTCTGTCCCCTGCCAGGATCCAAGGAGCAGAGGCTGGACTCTGGCTGTCCTCTCTTCCATACCAGTTCTTGGCACCTGCCTCATATGTCGCCAAATAAATATTCTTCAGATGAATGTTGAATGATATGTTTAGAGTAAGCAGGAGGGTCAGTTTGCCTTTCCTGCCTACAAAACAAATTCAATCATATGCCTTTACTGATGAGTTCTAAGAAATATATTTTGTAGAATTCTTTTATGAGATTTGCCCTGGTGAATGGCCACTAAATATCCACAAATGACCATGAGTCTATAAATATTTAAAGCTGATTGGGGCTGTATGTCTTACTTTTTAAAATTCGCAATAACAACCTTATGCCCAAAAGTAAGTAAGTAAAGAAATAAATATATTAGTACAGCTGGGTCTGATGGCATAGGCCCATAATCTCAACTATTCCGTAGGCTGAGGTAGGAGGCTTGCAAGTTCATGACAGAAACCTTCAGAGGTCACGGTGCTTATCTAGACTGTTCTTTGGCCATTTTTATGATCTGGTTCTACCATGCAGAAGAAGCTGCCTGCCCATAGTTATGCTCCTACATGGACAGAACCCAACATGGCAGAGGTCAGTCCAGAATGAAAGATGTTCTTTTACAGCTCCAGACTGTAAGTTCAAGGAAAGCCTGGGTAGTCAACAGGACCCTGGGACTGGGACACACGCATGCTAGGCAATCACTACCCGTGAGCTCCAGTCCCAGGGTCTTGAGTACTGCAGCCACAGACACACACACACACACACACACACACACACACACACACACACACACACACCATGCACATGTACACACACACACAGGGGGAGGGAGAGAGAGGAGGTCCAGTTTTTTGCAGAATCCAGGGAAGAGTCACAATGCCGTGGCTCAGAAGAGGTGGCAGTGGGGCCACCTCTGAGCACTTTGACAGTGATAACTTCAAGTCTTTCCTCCAGTATCTCTACTCTTAGTGGCCGCAGTTCCCAGTCATCACCCTCTGTGTTTCACTTCTTGGAATCCACATTTCTGGAAACGGACTATCCTTAGAGCAGCTGTGATCTGGGAGCTGGAGACAGAAGGTCCAGTCCTGGTGACTCGGATCCACCACCTTCTAGGAGAAGGAATGATTTTTCTAGAGTAGGTCAACACATCACAAGGTGGTTGCTGTAGTTTTTTGTACTCTGAAAAAAAAATCTATGGATTTTCACTTTGCTTTTGGGTTGATTTTTCTAAATCAATGTTTTATAAACGGAAAGAAGTTTAAATATCACCAAAGAAATGTTCTAGTAAGTGCCTTTCTAATATAAATACTCCATTTCAAATGTAATTTTTTAAATTATTATTTGGCTAAGCTAATACATCATGGAAAATATGCCATTGAGAACATGGCTAAAATTTCATAAAGAAAGGAGACCATCACACCAATAGGACCACTCAGATGCTCTCCAGTCAGGACTCCCAGGGACCAGCAAGTGAGAGTTGCAGGAAGCCTTCCTGTGTTTTTATGAGAAAGTAAGGGCAGGCAGCATATGCTGTTTAAGACTGACCACTCTGGACAATTGTCTGGGCAATTGGGGGCTGTGGACATAGGGATTGTTTCTGGTTTGTGGGTGCCTGGTCCTGAGCTGATCAGGGCAGGAGGACAGAGTCCTGAATGCTGAGCACCTGGGCAATCAGGAATTCATTAACTGAGAAATACTATCTCCCCAGTGTCAAAGCCCCAGGTATCAAAACATCAGAAAGGTGTGTGTATTAGAGTTCTCTATAGGAACAGAACTGAAAGAATGAACACACACACACACACACACACACACACACACACACACACACACACACACATCCAAGAGGAGAGTAGACCTGTGTTCTTATTGTACTAGTCAATATTGAGCCATAATCATCGGAAGGAAAAGGGTGTGGTTTGTTGAGATTCTTGTTTATAGACTCATCGCATAGCCAGACAGACGTGAGGCAAAAGATTCTGTTGGCTTTTTGCTCTTGGCTTCTACACATTGTTCCTCATCCTAATATCACAGTTGGACCAAGGAGGAGGCTAATGACTTTTTGCACGAGAAAGCTTCAACTTGATCTTCCTCATTGTCCTTGCCATAGCAACAGTTTGGTCTGAAGGCTTTCTTTCCAATATCATAACCCACCAGGCAGTGCCCTTCACCTCTCTTGGGAGAGCTCCCTCCTGCCTCTTTCTAGTGGGGTCTCAGTGTCTGCAAAGGTTAGAAGCATCCCAGACTGAAGTGATAGACCTTGGCCAGAATGAGTTCTGAGAAAAATAGAGCCACCCCATGTTTTCTGGCAGATGGTATTAAATCATGTGCTAGAAAAAAAAAGATGTTAAAATCATGCTGAAAAAAATATATTATTCTGCTCCTGGAAACATGATATTTGAGAAAACAGAAAATTATTCAGAGTGTAAGATGATTGACATAGATGATATATTTGGATATTACTAATGTTCAGGGATTATTGGGGGAGGTTCATAATACCATTGAAGTGGTATTATGGTTTTGTCCTTATAGGAATGAATCTTTCTGTTTAACAGATATGTGTGGACATGATGTATATTGACTGGATTTGCCACAAACACACACAGGATTTGGGATAGAGTAGTGGTTCTCAACTTGTGGGTTGAGACCCCCACAGGGATTGTATATCAGATACTTACATTATGATTCATAACAGCAAAATTATAGTTATGAAGTAGCAATGAAAGTAATTTTATGGTTGGGGGGTCACCACAATGTGAGGGACTGTATTAAAGAATTGAGGCATTAGGAAGGTTGAGAACCACTGGGTTAGAGGGAGGGATAGAGCAAACCCATATTGGCCAGCAGTTGGCTTTTGCTGAAACTGACTGATGGGTGGGTGAGACTCATTATATTATTGAGTCTACTTCCTTATTGGCTTCTAATGTTCAAGTAATATGGTATTTTAAAAACATAATGGTAGCTGTTGGGCACTTTTGGATTGTTTCTGTTCTGATTGTAAATGAAACACTTTGGGTATCTTACCATGACCTATGGTATTGCCTTAAAAGCCCTCCATGCTGAGAGACTTCTGTTTTATTCCCAATTATTTAAATCAGAAATGGATGCTGGAGAATATTAAATGCCTTAGCAATGCCTTCATTTACTATGTTTTTGTATTGTACCCTATTGCTGAAGGATGCTTCACTCCTACATGATGAGAGTAAAGCCCTTGGCAATGGCGCATGCCTGTGATCCCAGTTACTCAGCAGGCTCAAGAGCTGTGAATTCAAGGCTAACCGGGGCTTCGTAGCAAGACCCTTTCTCAAAAATAAAATAGAAATAGCCTTCTTGTAGTTCTTATAAACCCTATAAGTACTCACTGTCTCAACCATCAAGCTTTTACTGGGCAGCTCATAAGTGCCAGCCTTCACCTGGGCACAGGAACATGGCAACAAACAGGACTGGCCACCCTCGCTCCCCTGAGGCTTCATTCTTAGTGCTCAAGATAGACCCTAAACAGGTTCACGTGACGGTAAAGCTTCCCCGGCTTCCAACTGCCAGAGACTCTGGATTCCTGAGCTCAAGAATGCCGAGGGGAATCTGTGCAAGGTGCCTGCCGCCTTTTCCATGGGTGGGGCTGTGCTTTGCCATGAGGCGAATAGAGGCAAATCATCCCCAGTTTCATTGCGTCAGCCTCACAGTTCAGAAACAGTCTTGGCCCGTGTTGGCAAGAGTTGGTTGTTTAAATTAATCTCGCAGGTTGTTGTCAGTACTTTGAAGTCCCTGTGTCTTTACAGCTATTTAGTGCTCAGCTAGGAGAGCCTCCAGGGACTTGGAAGCAAATACCGTTTGCGCTGGAGCAGATGTGTACATTTGCAAATCATCGGGTAACCTGCGTAACCCACGTTACTGACGCTGTCAGTGGTTCTGCTGTTTCCCTCATTTTAAAAATAGGCCGAGCTGTAAGGAAACTTACAACCGCAGCCAGCAACATCCATCCATTCCTTACTAGACTGACTGAGCACCTACCTGTGTCCAATCCTCTGTCCTCCCAGCTAGCTCCCAGCCAGGCCAAGAAGATGGAATAGCTTGTTTGGAGATGCCAGGGATTATCGGAGGAACCAGATTTGAACCCAGACAGCTTTCCTCGGGAGTCCTGTGTTTAGCCAGTGTACCCGTGACCTGTTTTCAGTGCAGAGCTAAGGGTGGGGATTTGTGTTCAAGATGCTCTTCTTTCTGTTTCAGGTTTTGCTCATCTTTGCAAAGGAGGATAGCCAGAGTGATGGCTTCTGGTGGGCCTGTGACAGGGCTGGCTACAGATGCAACATTGCTCGCACTCCAGAGTCAGCCCTTGAATGCTTTCTGGACAAGCATCATGAGATTATTGTGATCGATCACAGGCAAACCCGGAACTTCGATGCAGAAGCAGTGTGCAGGTGCCTTTCTCTGTCTAAGTTGCTTAGTAAGCCCCCCTCCCCTGCCCGATCTTCTCTAAAAGAACTTCCTCTACAGACAGCTTTGGGTCCCAGCACTGACCTGGGGGTCATAGACCTGGACTGCCACAATGAAGGCTATGGCTCCTTCCTACAGACGCATCCTACCTTCCCATTTCTGCACATTTAAATTGCATTGAATTTAGAAGCTGGACTCATCCTGAAGCTTGAGCATGGTCCCCCAGCCCCTCCCAAGTATTGCTCATAAAAGAGTCATTAAAATTCACACAGTTTTTACTACACGTAGTTTAGATTTAAAGTAAGTATTTTAAACTTCATTATTCTGCCCCAAAATGAACATCAGAAATGTGTGAAACAGAGATTTTTCCATGCGTGACACAGATGGGTAGATCCTGTAGCAGGCTTCCCAGACATGGAGAGAAGAAGGCAGCCACGTTAGCAGCAGAGTCTTCCTGGGGTCCATGCCCACACTTATTTGTACAGATGCTCACACTCTGGGGAGCAAGTACCTGTCTATTCATAAATAAACATTGTCCATGTTAAGAGTTTGCTCAGGATGAACTGAGCCATCAGCAGAAGTGGAGTGCTTGGAAGTTGGCCTGAAAGAGTCACTAATTAATCAAGAACAGGACAGAGGCCGGTTACAAAGAGGGCTGGACTTTTATTGAATATTAGTAAATGAAAGGTAGAAAAATTCTTAAAACTTTTGGTATACTGACAAAAATATTAATGGGTTAAGAGTTGGGTTTTTTTTTTTAATCACAGGCATTGCCTTGCTATTTTTTTATGACTTGCATTTTCCCAAAGACGTTTTGTTAATTAGCCAGTGTTTAAGTGTTTTAACGGTTTCAAATCTTGCTTTTCTCCATAGAAATATTTTCCTATTTAGTAACACACACACACACACACACACACACACACACACACACACACACACACACACACGCATGCACACATGCACACACACAGGCATGCACACACACAGCTATTTTTACTATTAAGAAATATATTTTCGCCCGTCAGTGGTGGCGCACGCCTTTAATCCCAGCACTCGGGAGGCAGAGCCAGGCGGATCTCTGTGAGTTCGAGGCCAGCCTGGTCTACAGAGTGAACACCAAAACTACACAGAGAAACTTTGACTCGAAAAACCAAAAAAAAAAAAAAAAAGAAAGAAAGAAAGAAATATATTTTCTTACTGACCGGGTATAATGAAGCACATCAGTTATCCCAGCACTTGGGAGACTGAGGCAGGAGGATTGCTGAGTTCAAGGCCAGCCTGGGCTATATAGCAAGACACCATCTCAAAGAACAAACAAACCAACCAAACAAAACATACCTTCTTTCTAAATGATTTTCAGGGTAGAATTGGGTCCTGACTCTCATAGGCTGGTCTCATATGGCTCTGTAATCAAACGCTGCTGCTCGTATGCCAGCGTCCCCTAGGGCCTTGGTTAGGTAATCTTTGTACTCTTCCTTAGCTATAGAAGCATGATGTCTGTGCCTCTGTTATAGCTGCTCAGAAAGGCAGTGGGGGGCGTGAGGTTCAGAAGGAAGTTGTGTGTCTCTATGTGCTTGCTGACTGCTACTGGTCCTGTTAAGGGCAGCCAGGTTCTTAAATGGTTGACAGACAGTAGTGTTCTGTACAGAAGTGAGTGGGGGACATGCACCAGCAGAAGGGCATCCCTTACTGTCGTCTGTGGGCCTAGGTCCCAGGCTTTTTAGCTATACTAAACCTTCCTCCATTTAGCGTACTGACTCCAGACTGTCATACCTCCAGATCTCCCTTATCAGGAAGACAATCAAGTCCCTCTTAACACAAATACCTCTGGGGAGCAGGAAGTAACCCAAAAGATAGGCACCAGTCACAAAGGAAGCGAAGAGACTGTTCCCGCTCAGCACATGCAGTACTTGAGTTAGCCTCTGTGTAAGTCCAGGTTCTTTGAAGGTGACCTAGCAGTGTGTCCATGGCACGTCCCTGGGTGGGAGAGGCTACATGAAAGGGAGATGTGTACAGCATCTCCCTGGATCTCAGAGAGTGCCTCTCGGACACTGTATTTTTCATATGACGGAAACGGGTACTTCTCTGAGTGTCTATATATTAGGCTCCTAATGTAAACTGAGTCTTCGGAAACCTGCTCTGGGGGAGGTTGGATGGGAACAAGAAGTGATGAGTGCCGGCCCTGGAGTGGACCTGTCTAGACTCCCTGCCCTTGGTGATGAATAGTCCCTCTTAGAAAGATCTCAAAATAAGCAGAAGTCAGACCACAGGTATAGGCTAAAACAGTCAATGCCGCTGTCCATGGATTCAAGAATGCGGCCCTTTATTAAAAGCTTGGCCAATTCATGAAGCCCTGACCAGACTAGTCTAGATTCTGAGCTTCATGCATCTTGTAAGGTTCACAGACCTCAAAATCCTATAATCTGTATGCATTTGTATACTGTGAAATTGCTAAGGAATAAATTAACTGTCTACAGGTGCTTCCGGTTTAGCAAATCTGACAGTTACCATTTAATCTTTCTCCAGCCCGGCTGATGGCCAAGTATAGAAGCATAAAGGACAGACTGACTGGGGGAGGGGCACCCTCTGAATGACCTTTAGCACTTGCCTGTTCATCTGCCACCAAGTCCTTTAACTTTTATTGTTAGGTTAGTCTTCTGTATGACCTCCTGTTTTGAAAGAAAAGGAATCCAGCCTCGTTCGCTGCTTAGGCACAAACCGATCGTTAAAAGACTGTAGTATTTTAAAGAGAGAGTCAGATTTCAATCAGAAACCACGAAATTCAAGTGGAATTTGCCAATTTTGAAGTAGAAAACTGGCGAGTGTGACCTGTTGGAAAATTGCTCAGGAGTTTAAAACAGACAGACAGACAGATAGATGCTATTATCCTAGTTCATGAGGTCGTCTTTCTTTGCTGTCTCATGTGTGTTCTGAGACTTTTTTCTCTGAAGGACGATTTGATTCGGTACCACTATCAGTGCAGAGAAGTCTCCATAGTAATTTAATGTAACAGAGCCCGGATCACTGCTTGACTTGAAGCTTCTTTTTACAGATCAATCCGGGCCACTAACCCCTCCGAGCACACTGTGATCCTGGCCGTGGTTTCACAAGCGTAAGTACACAACCCCCACCCTACCCCAGCAGCAACCCCATCCCCTACAGCATCCTTACTCCAGCAGCATCTCCCAGCCACAACAGTACCTCTTACCTCCATCAGCAGCCCCTACCCCCAGCAACACCGCTCAATACCAGCAGCACCCCCACCCCAGCAACACCTCCCACCCCCAGCAGCACCCCCACCCTCAGCAACACCCCCCACCCCCAGCAGCACCCCCACCTCCAGCTGCACTCCCACACCCAATATTCCTATTCCATCTGAGAATGATGCAATCCAGTTTTTGAACCCGCTCTGTGATGGGCATATCTTAGACTGTACAATGCCACTTCTAGAACTTTCTCTGAGGGCTTTGTTTTCCAAGTTTCCAAAAATATTTAGGCTCCCCCCTCTCTCTTACATAATTGCTGCCAGCACGTTTTCACACACTTCGGGGGGGAAAACAGGTTTCTCATCATGATGACATGCCAAAAATGAGTAGAAAAGCTGAGAACTCTGGAGAGAACACTGTTCTGGTTCATCTTTTTTTTCTTTGAGGAAAATTAGAGATGGGAAAGCGCTTGAGTTTTCGCTTAAGACTGTGGCACGAGAGCACAGAGGCACCAAGTCCATCGGAAGAAAAGGATTGTGGGGCTTAAGTGAGGACTATTGTGTGGCTAACAGCAGCCCATAGGCTTAGGTTGGTTTGGGACTGCAAAGAAGATTGGCTTGGCTGTTGGTACGCTGATACCCTGGAATGAGAAACTGTTCTGCTGGGTTTAGTGTCTGGAACGTTCTGCACTTAAAATGCAAGGGCTGGCTGAAAGGAAGAAGTAGTTTGTATGTGCTACAATACTTGGAATCCTTGCCAGTGGCAAATTTTGTTGTAGTCAGTCAATGGCTGTCATTAGCTTCAGAGAGACTAAGATCTTAATTAGGACCCAAGACCTGTCGGACTAGGCTCTGTTAGGGCACTCGGCACAGCTTCTGCCACAAAGGAGCAGATAGGCCAACAGCTCCTTTAAGGAGGTGTGGGGTTTTCCAGGGCAGGCTAGCCCAGGGGGAGTTGATATAAGTACCCTGTAGGTCACACTAGCGTGAGAGGAAGCCGTGGCTGCAGGGGCCTGCCCTGATCAGAGCCCTGTGTTGAAATGCTACACTTTGAGGCTCTCTACTTGATGGCTCCCATGGGCTGTGGTCCAAATAAGGTGACGCTCTGTCTTTATGGATGCCGAATCCCTGCCATCCTGGTGGGAGACTGATTCCAGAAAGAATGAGTGGGGAACTGAGGGATGCCAGTCTCCTTCTCCACTTATCTCCAGAGATCTGAATAGGATCATACAGCCTTGGTCATGATCAGGGAGACCACACTGCACAGCATCTCCCAAGGCCACTTATTACCTGGGTCCCCAAATGCCTTCTGTCCTTTTCATTTATCAAAAATGTTCATGAGTCCTTGACTAGGAGTGGTTTTCTATGGCTTGTTATGATATTTCTGGGTTTTTGTTGTCAAATGCTTCTTATACAGAGCATGATACTAAATGAGTGCCTCTGTCTTTGCCATAAATGGCAATAGGAAATAGGATATTATTACATTGTAATCTTTACTTCCTTCATAGAAGGCAGAAAGTCGGGAGTAAGGGAAACAGTTTCTCGGGCAGGAATCAGCTATGGGTAGAGCCACAAACTGGGACCTCTATTCTGTTTTCTAATGACTTTTCCACCCAATGCCTCTCCTGCTTGTCTTCCCTAATTTTTAAGGTATGTATCCTATGCAAATTTCTGGCTGTCTCAGGGACCCTCTTTCAGTTTCTTGATGGTGACAGTTGAGTTTTGAGACATCCTCATGACATGCTGGTCCCCACCCTACCTTTTCACTCATGGCCCAGTTCCAGGCTCAATACTGAAAACTGTCTCAGGAGATAGGTGACCATGGCCAGTTTTTGTTTTCCTTCCTTTTGGATTTCTGTTCAAATTTACACTTCTTTCCCATTTGGTTGCACGGTCCTATAGACTGTAAGGTCAGGTGTCTGCATCACCTTGAGATTTGGGGCCAGCTAGATCTTGGGGTAGGAGTTGTGCATCCAGTTGGGTTAGGGATGGTAGCCTTGTGATAAGCAGCATGCTTGACATCTCCGTTTATGGGACTGTTCTCCTATATCTGCTCCGACCCCAAAGGACAACCCAGAGTTACAGTGGCTCACCCCTGTGCCGGGAGCACTTCCAGCACACTGCTGTTGCTTCCCATCCTGCCTGTGTTCTGCTCACATCTGGAAGACAGATGTGGGTTCTGTGTCCCTGAAGGCAGGTGCTCCCTGGGCACACGCTGCTCGGGAAGCCTCTCCAGAGCGAATGCCAATGGCCTCATTGCTCTCTCTCCATGTTTCAGTGTGAGGAATCCTGGTTTTGTATCTGCTGAGTGACCACCTTTTCTGCTTTGCTGCAGATCCGATGACCATGAAGAGGCCTCAGTTCTTCCTCTTCTCCATGCAGGCTTCAACCGGGTATGTACGAGGGGACCGAAGACCTCTCTCGAGGGCGGGCACCGTGCTCCCTCGCTCTCCCTTGAGAGCAAAGCACACAGCCATGAGAGCTGTTAGGGGAAACAGGCCCCAGGACTGTGAGCCAGGGAATGGGAGAGGCTGCACGTGAATGGAGTGGCAGTGAGCAAGCGACTAACAAGTGCCGGTCAACCGTTTGCTTCCGGCCATCTTAATTCCATCTATCATAGCAGCTGATACATAATGACAATCAAATACCTCTTCCATCAGATCGAAATCCAGCAGTCTCAGAGTGACCCAGATAGCTCCATCCTACCAGTCAGCTCCAGCATGTATGTGGGGTCATAGAGAGATGATGTGCCAAGTGGCCACTTAGGTTCTGTGCTCACCAGGAGGCTGCCCAGAGCTTTTAAATTGAGAGCAGGTTCATGGCGGCTTGCGAACCATTGTTTAACACCAGAAAAAGAGAAGTCTCCAATTTGAAGGATAACTATATGAAACACACGGATATCAACTTAAAGATTAAAACTGATTGTCCTAGGCAAGGGGATACAGACATATAACTAGGATTGCAAGGTGAAGGTAAAAACTGAATTTCAGGCAAAGCTATGTGTGGGCAAATGGAAAGAAAACAGAATTAATTTAAAATAAAGAAGAAAAACTGGAGTAGAAAAAGAAATGTGAATATTAGACAGAGTAATATAGAAAATGCATGGAGCCCTTCACATTTTTATGATAAACATATTTATTCCTGCTATTTTTTAAAAAAATGCTTTATTTTAGGTAAAAATAGAGTAGCGATCCGTAGTTGATTGTGTAAATTTTACTGATAGTCTAAACTCAGACAGATGATCCTATGAGTTCTTGGTGTTTTGAGTAATAATGGTGTTTTACTATTCTTGATTGAAAATGAAAATCCCTGGTTGTAGATCACGGAGATGCGGTAACTTCTTTTGTGTAGCAGTCTCTCTGTGCTGTGGCATGCTTCAGCCTAGAAACAGAGCCTATGGAAGATGTGAGGCAGCCTGGATTGTAATGTGTAATAGAAACGAACACTTCTAGGTTGCAACATTCCACACGTTCCTAACACTCCTTCTTGTGTGTGTCTGCCGTCTCTTCCTGTGACGGTTGGCATTTGTCTCTGAAAGCTTCCCTTATGTGCAGTGTTTGAATAGGGATGCCTGAGAAAATACCTCCAAGTTTGGGAACCCAGAAATACCAGAGGACAGTCAGCAAAGAAGCCGTGTGACTGCCATTTTTTAAAACTCATTAATTTTCTAGAAATAACTCTGCAATTATTCACATGTTTTATTGATCATCTGTGTCTCCTGGCCCACACCACTCCACTGACCTTTCCAAGTGTGAATCAGGACTCTGAGCGTATGGTGACATTGGCTTTCCTGGTCACATTGGTTTTCCAACTGAAGGATGACCTTGATATGCTGTTGGCTTTATCAATTAGGAGGCACATTGGTCTCTTGAGTGGCCTTGGAATTCTGCTTCAGTTCAGTGATCTTTCCTCCAAGCGGTTTTGTGTTGTGTCATTTGGAGGATAGCTTCCTCACCAGAGGATGGACATTGTACATCTGTTGGCAGGAAAGCTTAGAAGGGAATGATTGTCATTCTTTAGGTACAAATATTGAGGGGAAAAAAAGGTTCACTGCTATTCCACAGTGTCTCCTGTGCCCAGGTCCAAATGTGTTGTACACATTGAATGTATCTGTGGTGAATGGGAACTTACAAGACAGTGCCTATCAGGGATTACCTGGTGTTCTGAATGCTGGGTCTGATTTGATCAAGGTCATTCACCAGTGGATCAGGATTTCTCCAACCCCTCAGGTTTTCTCCCAGGGAAATACACAGTATCCGTGATGGCTTTCTCTATATGTTGTGGCCTCACCACCGTGGAGGATCTCCAGGCAGCCGCTGTACTTGTTTGGGGAAGATCTTGTCTTTGGCAGCTCTCTATCTAAGTAATTTCTGGATATGCCAGCTAGTCTTGCCTTCTGCGAGGTTGTTTCTCTTCCCTGATTTGTTTTGATTAAATCACTTGCTCAAACTTGGCTTTGTATTACTAGCTACCGGGCCAGCACGTTGGTCTGTGATCCCTGAGTGGGGATCCAGGAAGAAACTGTGTCACCCATTACACCCCAGCAACTCCCTTTGAAGCCTTTAGAGCCCTAAGCACGTGGCCAGCTGTCATGATGCCCAGCCCACACTGTGCTTTTGGAAACCAGCATCTTGCCCAATGCAGCTGCTCTTACACTCACCTTCATGTGCCTTTTTTTTTTAAAGCCTGAAATGATGCTTATTCATCTCAACAAGTATTTATGGGGCTCCACGTGCAAGGCAATGTGTAAGGCATGCTGGGCTCACAGCTGTGAGCCACACTTCTCCCTGGAGAGACTTCCTCTGGAGTGGGAAGTTGAGGAGCTACAATGTATTATTTATCAGGCCCAGTTCCAGGTGATTTGCTTAATTTTTCTCAACATATGAAAGATTTGATATTTTCTCCGGAGGAAACAGACTCCAAAATCTGAATAGCTTGCACATTCATAACAAAGGCAGGGATGCAGATGTACATTCACTCCTCATTCTGTCTTGGGTCCACCCACTAATGGAGTTTTCTGCCATGCTGTGGAGTACTCTCCCAAGAGCTCCTGTGTTCCATGGAAAGAAGCCTCCTGGGCGAAAGTGGTTCTGGTGAATCTGTAGACTGGGTCCTCCTCCTTCCAGTAAGAACCCCAGCACGCATTGGCAATTGAGCACGTTAGCCTACAAGATGTTCTGAGGGCCCCCAGAGTCGAGATCCATGCATCTCAGCATCATCTAAACTCGCTTAGCATGGAAATTTCAGTATGTCTAAAATGCATCAGCTACCCTGATAACGGTCATTGGGGGGGACAGTTTTCACTCGTGTAAAACCTCAGGCAGATGTGAATCTTGACGAACTTTGCTTTGTGACTGAAAGAGCAAGCATTTTCTTTCTGCCTGTGTTGGTGGCTTTTCCTTTTCTTAGCCCCTCTCCACGCCACTTGGAGAATAAGAGGCCTGTGGAAAGTTAGAGGGCTTTGACTGTATTCCTCAAGGAAAGACCATCCACTCCAGGGGTGTGTGTGTGTGTGTGTGTGTGTGTGTGTGTGTGTGTACACTCACATGCTGAGACAGAAGGGGAGAGAGGAATTGGTTTTTCTCTCTAGCTGACTTAATTGAAGGAAGTCTATAAATGGACCTTTCGGCTGGGTCTGACTTGCCCCCTCCATCTAGCTAGCTGCCTGAGGAGCACTAAGGTAACTGGGTAGTTTGGAATCCTTTTTTGCTCCATAGTGCGCTAGCTATATGCTTAGAAAGTTTTGCAAAGTTTATATGTTCTTTATGAGTTAAAAATGTAAGACATTTTCTTTGGTCATAAGGAAATCTGTTTCCTTACCATTTTTTACTGGCTTTTTTTTTTCTGCTTTCCTCGTTTCTCATAAGAGCGTTGCCGTGTTCATATGAGAGAAATGCATGATTTCTTGTATGTCCTACACCAAGTAATGTGCTCAATTGAAAAGCTGTAAAGAAGGGCTGGAGAGGTACTCAGCAGTTAAGAGCACTGACTGCCCTTCCAGGAGACCCAGGTTTAATTCTCAGCACCTACTTGGTGGCTCACAGCTGTTGATAACTCCAGTTCCAGGAGATCCAACCCTGCCCTGGCCTCTGTGGGCACTATATGCATGTGGTACACATACATAAATGCAGGCAAAATTTTTTAAAAAATGATGTAAAAATGAGTTTGGAATCATTGAGAAGCGTCTGCCGTCTCTCTCTGGCGTGAAGTGCACGTCACAGCTCTTCCATGAATGGTGCTGCACATTGTGTTTTGTTGGACTTCAGGCTTTGCTTATGCATTTACTCAACCCACTAAGGGTTTGTAAATATGTGAAAGCTTTTTTTTTCTTCTAATTGAGATTAAAGTAAGCCCATTTTAAAGTGAACAATACAGTGACATTTAGAGCATTCCCAATGTGCGATACCCACCCCCAGCCTCGTTCGAAAGCATTTCCCTTAGCCTCAAGTTCCTACTAAGCAGTCAGTCCCGGGCCTGCTTCCCAAGCTCTGGCAAGCATCAGTCTGCAGTCCGTCTGTAAGGATGCATCTGTCTTGATAGTTTGCATGAATGGAATCATATAGGTGTGGCTTTTGGTGTCTATCTTCTCTCACTTAATATTCTTGAGGGTTTTGCACTTCCTTCCTATCTTATGCCTGAGTAAAATCCCACTGCATGTACCTACCACAATTCATCTCTTCATAGACTATTATTCTACCCCATGTAAGTAAAGCTGGTGTGGACCTGATTCTACAAGAGTTTGCTTGAGGTAGCCATTTTCAATTCTCCTGGTTTATATACCTAGAGTTTAATTTTTGAATAACACATACACTATTTTCCACAGTGACTAAACCACTTCATATTGCCATCAGCAATGCATAGGACTTTGATTCTGCACATTTTTACTAATAGTTATTTTTCTTTCTTTAATTGTACCTATTTTGGTGGGTATGAAATGACATCCTATTATGCTTTTGATTTCTATTTCTTTAGTCTGGTGAGGTTGGACATCCTTCAGGTGTTTGCAGAACAAATGTTATACGTTTTCTTGGAGAAATGTCTGCTCCTCTCCTTCGCCTAGTATTTCATTTGATTGTCCTGTTGTTGAGCTCACCGAGACCTCGAATAAGCTCTACATTCGGCACCCAAAAAATTCAGAACAAGGCCAAGAACACTACCATAAAAATGAACCAATGGCACATTGCAGCCTGAGCACGCTGCGTATCGAGTTGCAGGCGATGGTTACGGGATGTAGCCGAAATGGTTCAGTCATTAACAGGGCTGGGGAGGCACGCTGTGCTCTTGTATGCTTCCTTTGCTGTGACTCCTTGTAATGAAGTTTCCCTGTCTCTGTTATACAGTGAGCCAAGGGCATCGCCTGTTCCGAGTTGTTCCTCCGACATTTGAATAGGCACTTCACAGTCCTTGACAACTTTTCTCTGTCACCCCTTCCTATCTACACGATGTCTTGCATAATGAACTACCTGGGGGCAGGAACAACTGTTAAGTTTCTCTGTTTGACTCTCTAAGAAATAATTGGAGATGTCTTATGCATTATCTTTGCTTTCTTTTCAGAGATTTATGGAGAATAGCAGCATAATTGCTTGCTATAATGAACTGATTCAAATAGAACACGGGGAAGTTCGCTCACAGTTCAAATTACGGTATGTAGCAACATAAGACAATACATGAAGTTAACAATGCTTTAGAAAAAACTTAACTGTCAACAGGCCAAAGTACACAGGTTTATAACTGATGTCTGGGATTTTGAAACTGTGAGACTGCCAGCCAATGGCAGTACGTTAACTGGATGGAGCCCCTTGGTGTGATGAAATAAATTGAAAGCATGTCTTTTTTGGCAATATCTTCTACTATTTGTGGCAGTGTTAAAATCATAGTCTAGGAAGTCTGGCTCAAGTTTTGTATAATTAGATTGAGATTAAGAGCATACTTTAAGAATCACTTTCAACTTCTGACTTCCAACTTCATAAATTCCTACTTGGGTTGTTATAGTCGGGGAAGCCAATAAGTACATTTATTACTCTAGCCACCATAATGGCTATGTGGCGATTTCATGAAGTCTGCCTGTGGCCTCGGTATGCAGGGCATATCGTTGAGACACCAATTTTAGGTCTCTTGGTTTGTATGCAGCGCTTTCAGAGGTGGTTTCTCTCTGGCTCTCCATTCTACATGGAGCCCATTATGTATCATCTCTACTTCTAGGCTCTTTTGGAATATCAGGGTCTTAGCACCCATCTAGTCTAGTCCAAGCTCTGTTCCGGCTTGCTGCTAACACCTAATTTCTTCAACCTGCCCTCTTCAAGCCAGAGAACATGAGTATACCTTTGACCCTGCGGAAAGAGCAGTTTTATGGGCTTCCTGCTTCCTTCAGGGACATCTCTGCATGGCTTCTCTCTCTGGGGAACTAAGAGGCACCTCTTGGTACCTTGTGCCCAGTGTGAAGACCAAGAGAAGACCTCCCTACCATAATTATACTTTTAATCTTCATTACTTGTTTTGTATCCAAATCTGACAGAGAAGCTTTAAAGCTAATTCTCTCCAGTCCCTAGGAAGCAGGATGATTGGCACAGAAGCAGGTGGCCCATGTCTGGGGAGTTGCTTTTGGTGACTACAGTGGTGTAAGAAATGAAATGTTAGAGTAAGCAGTCAGTCTCTTAGACGGGAATGTGGTGTTTTTGGTGTGTGTGTGTTTTAAGAATGTTGATGCTGCCACCAAGCTGAGTTTACTCTCTGGGACCCCCATGGTGGCAGAAGCAGATGATTCCAACAGGTTACCCCTTGACCTTCATGTGTGTCGTGCCATGAGTGTGCATAACACACACACACACACACACACACACACACACACACACACACACACACAAATAGTAAGTAATAATAAATATTTTTTTAAAGTAAAAGTATGTCAAGACGGTGGGGATTCTGATATGTGAGAGGTTTTGATAGCTCAAGGCCTTAAGGAATAACACCAAAGACATTTTGAATGTTTAAATAAGTTAAATCCCTTGGTTTCTTTTTATCTGTTTGTTTACTTCAGGTAACTTCATACAAATTTTCTAAAAAAAAAAAAAAAAACAACAACAACCTTCACTTTGCTTCAGTAATTTATTCTTTTTAATAATGTACATTAAGTGTATGTATTTCCGGGGAAGCTCTGTTGATTTTAATTGAGATTAAAACAACTTAGAACTTTGAATTTTGATGTTTTTGCAATAAATAAAAGGAGAAAGGAGATTTCATTGTGGTTTGATCCTTTAACTTTATTTCTTACACTAAAAGCAGGTGACCCATCCTTTTCTCGCTGTCTCCAGCAACCCCTCACGCTAGTTTGAATCAGTGCTTCTGTATTCTTAGGACCAGAACATGTGATAGCCCCTGTTAGATGGTGCCCCAATCCAGATTCTGCAGAGATTCGGGCACTGGGGGTTCCTTCAGGGAGGCTTAGGACACCTTGAGCATGGTTAGTAGGACACAAGCAGGCCTGGAGGTCTGAAGCAGCCCTGCCAGCCCCGACGTTAGGTCAATGTGCTGCTGAGGTCTGTGTAGACCAGGGTGTGTGTGGGAGCGCTCATGGTCTCATCATATCATAACTGCAAGTTTCTCAGCTCCTAACAGTGTGAGCACTACAGCTGCTCATCCGCTCTCCGACAGGAACTGGCTGGGGGAGTTGGACCCATTGCTGGGGTCATAAGGGGATGCTTATGTTCTTCATGTAAGTTAGCTTGGAACAGTAAATGGACTTAAGCCAGGAAGCAGTGGCCCCAGGAAGCAGTGGCCCAGGAAGCAGTGGCCCCAGGAAGCAGTGACCCCAGGAAGCAGGGCTTCCCTCATTCTTGGATGCTCTTTCCCTCTCCACCTGTGATACTGTTGGTTTTCTGTCCTTCCCTCAGCCTTGCTTGAGTTCACTCCCTTTGGGGACCTGGGGGTACATGCACATTGCTTGCATCTCCCTGGGCCTACAAAATTTAGACCCAGCAGACAGAGGACAATGATCTAGATAATGACCTTGCTCCAGCTCTTGAGGGCATTCAAGGACACGTAGAACATCTATCTACCTGTACCCCAAGGCAGACAAGCAACTATGGCATTTGTTAAAGACTGGGAAATGAGCTCTTTGTTATACAATGCCAGAATAATTATAGTCTAATTATGTAATACTTTCCCCTACAAGTCCGCCCCCAGCTGCAGCTAAATATGTAGCATGCCTGTCATTCTGCAAGGACACAGCCTGTGCTGCAGGATGTGACCAGTGTTGAAGCTGGACACTTCAGTCCAGGACTTGGAGAATGGTGACTACCATCTATACTTTACAAAACAGACAAATCACTCAAGTCTGATCTAATTGAGCAAATGATGGGGTTTAACTGTAAACTTCCTCTGTGGAGAATAAATTTTAGGGACATCAGACCTAATCCCTTCTGTGCACATTTGTTGGGTTCCTCTACTGAACCAAGTTCATGAATGGCAGTGTCCAGGATGAGCCAGGATAAATGATGAGCATGTCGCTCTTCTAATGTTCTTGGGCTTTTTTTTTTAATCATGAAAAAACCTTGTCACTAAAATAAAGACAGTGATTTATCCACCTAATAGGAGTTTATGATCATACAGTTCCAGTGTTTCTTCTCATTATTAGTGTAAGAGTTGCACAGAAATCATGTTTATTTTGCTCAGACCTTAGGACACCAGCAGTCTTCAGTTTTAGAAAGATTCGGGGCCTGATGGGAGAAAGTCTGCCTTGTGGAGCACCGCATCTCTCATTATGAACACACACGCAGAGCCTTTATCTTCACGTGGGTTCTGTGCAGTAGCCGATGTGGCTGGTGCAGCTGTGGGTGCAGAGCTGTAAACACTTAAAATAACCATCCCTTCTCATCCTTGCCACCACCCATACCTGCCACCGAGTAGCAATCCCATGATTCCCCATGCCTGTTCTTCTGTCTGCCTGGCTAATTGTGAGCCCCTGATTGGATGTGAACTTGTGTTCAGAATCTTCTTAAAAGCCATTGCCTTGCTCAGTCCCACCCTTGTTTAAGGTGGTGTGTGCATATATGTGCGTGTGTGTGTGTGTGTGTGTGTGTGTGTGTGTGTGTGTGTGTATGTGTGTGTGTGTTTCGTTTGGGTAGAATTCAGATGAAATACCTTTCTAAGATATGCAGAACAGCACATGTCCATCCTAGCCACAATTGACAAGAAAACATTGAGAACCGGGAGTGTCCTTTATGTGATCCCAGCTGCCTACCACCCTGGTTGCAGGACTAGAGCACAATTGGGTATTCTACATGTGCACGTGTGTGCTTTGCAGCCCCTGTACCACTGTGCTGTTTATGGACTTTGTACCTGTACCTATGATGGTGTCTTTTCCATCTGAACCTTTGAAACTCTTAAGGCACAGTATAAATGCTTACATCACCCATTATCTTCTCTTCTGTTTCTTTTTTTTTTCCTCCCAATTTTCTAACCTCTAACCTTAAGGATAAAAATTAAGGACATCTGAGATGCAATTCATGGTTCCCAAGAACAGAAACTAATAAGGCTATAGTTTTTCTGCCTGAAAAGTATGAATAATTAATACAAGCAATTAGGTTCCGTGGTTCTAGGAACATGACTCAAATTGATTGCCCCATTTTTTCTGTGGGTTTACTTAAATAGAGCCATCAACCTAAAGAAGTTGAATAACCCAAATATCGAAGCTGATCATTCATGGCGTGGTGGAGATAGGAAGGAGAATACTGTGTTGATCCTGTTCCTGACACTGTCCCTTCATGTCAATGGGCAGTATAGGGATTTGCTGTGTCCTTTTGGTATTATATCTACTGAAGAGTTTAAGTTGTATGGATAATCAGGGATGTAAGGTTGAAAAGCTCTTAGACTTATTTAAGAACTGCCTTGAGCACAGACAAAATGATCACGGCTGAAGCACCAGTTTGCACGTTTAGTTGAGATGTACAGATAACCTCCTGAAAAACCCCATGCCAGAGAGGATCCTGACAAGATGTGTTCATTAGAACTTAATTACCCAGCTCTCAAAGTTGACAAATTAGCCTACGTGGAGTCTGTGTCTCCATGCATCACTTCTGAAAGGTAGTTAGTCCCTGGAACGCTTTTCCCAAGGAGCTGAGCTCGATCTAGACCAGGTGTCTGTTTTGATAAGCCTGGCTCTTGCTTGCCTCTCAAGAGGAAGTGCAGTGATGGCGGTGATAACAATCTCAGCATCCTCTTTTGATGCTTTGCTGATTTTATGGAACATGTTTACAAACACGGTGGTGGTGGTGGTGGTGGTGGTGATGGTGGTGCTGGTGCTGGTGCTGGTGCTGGTGGTAGAGGTAGACAGTATGCAGTACACATTAATTGGGTGGGCAATCGGAATGAAAAAATGACCTGCGGGGATGGGGACTGTCAGTGGCATCAGGTGAGGCCCATTCTCTGCCCCGCTGGCCAGAGCATGGATGCTTGTCTTACCTACCCCGTATGCACATAGCCTCATCTCTGCATCCATAGAAACAAGCATCATCCTTCGGTGTGCTGAGGTCCTTCTGCCTGTGGGCCGGTTGGCTTGCTGTGACTGAGTCCCATTCGGATAGACTCAAGGGGAGAAGATAGGTTACAGTTAGTTTTTTCTTTCCTCTGGAGGCTTTTGCAAGCCTCAGAGAACAAAGCCCTATGACTCTGTGACCTTACAAGCAGTAATACCTACCACACTGTATTCTTCCGTATGTGGTCCCAGGCGCTTTGAGAAATGCCTGCATAAGTCATCCATCGCTCCGGCCGTTACAAAACCCCATGAAATACATATTCTTACAATAATTCTCTCGATGGGGAAAACAAGGACAAGCAAAACCGGAAGCTGCCCGGAATCCTGTAGCTGGGAAAACACAGTCCAGTTTCACCCAGGGCACTGTCATTTTCCTAACAAATAGGTCAAAGTAGCAGCAAATTATACTCCCTCGTGGTAGGAAAGTAACAGTGAAGAACTCTCCCTGCAAGAAGTAATAGACATCCCATAAATCAACATCTTCCTGTTTTAAAATTTTTCTCTCTGCACCGTGTAAGCAAACCTTCCCTGGGATTCTCTAAACAGTCCATCTAAATAGCAGGTGGTTGTTGTGTTGGCTAGTACAGAACTTCAATGAATTTGGAGTTGTTTTCTATTGGGAAGCTATGAAAACCACAATTGGAGTCTGATTTCTAATATCTCAGATACACAGGGGAGGTCAGCCCGGAAGGAGCCGGGTAGAAAGCTGTACAGGCGCAAAGAAACTGGACAAGGGGGGTTCGGAGCCACCTTCCACTCCTGCCTGTCTTCATCCCAGTGGGTGTGGCTGTCGGCCAAGTAGCATTGCAAACCTAAGAAAGACAAATGTTTCGCTCTGTGTTGCAAAAGGTTAGAATACCTCAAGGTCAGTTCGGGCCAGGCTAGGGTCTTCTAATTGATGGGAACTTGACCTTCTCCGTGACCATGACCGTGGCCATACTGCAGCATTGAACTTTGTATTGAAATGTCAAGACTTGAGGGAATACCAGTCATCGGGTGGTAACAGTAACAGGGAACATTTACAGTACAGTAACATTTATAGTAAATGTAACAGTGCCAGTGACTCTGGGGTCTGTGTATGTTGCTAAATTAACAAAGTTCAGAGCGTACAACTAACCCTCATCTTATGCATCTTTCAGGGCCTGTAATTCAGTGTTTACAGCGTTAGACCACTGTCACGAAGCCATAGAAATAACAAGTGATGATCACGTGATTCAGGTATGGGAAGAAGCTCTTTGCATCATTAAAACTAAAAAAAGAGCCTTTTGGGTTCTATCCACCTCTTTATTTCAAATACTTTCCCATAATTTTCACATATTTGCACATTTTTTTTGAAGAAAGGAAAATCAATGTATGAGATGACTACTGATAAACTTAAGAATTGGCTATTCAAAGGAGAATAAAAGTTATTCTATAATTTATTATTTTTAAAATGTATGTGTGTGCGTGTGCACGCCTGTGTGTGTGTGTGTGTGTGTGTGTGTGTGTGTGTGTGTGTGTGTGTGTGTGTGTGTGTGTGTGTATGAACATGTATGTGGGGGTGCTGCTGTAGAATCCAGGAGAGGGTGTTGAGCTCAAGTTATGGGCAACTGTAAGCTGCCCAGTGTAGGTGCTGGGAACTGAACCCAGGTCCTCCAGAAGAGCAGCCAGAGCTCTTAACCATTCTCTCTCTAGCTCCCATAGGAGAAACTTATTCAGATCAGAACTTGTTATTTCCTAGGTAGAGGTGGGAGAAAATTTGGGCCATCTGTAAAGACAGTATTCACGTAGGGTTGTTGAACAAATACTTGTAAGTGGCTATGGGAGTAGGATACTTGAAAGAAACCATTCACCTGCCATTGGGGTTCTATTACAAAGCACTTTAATACTAATGCAATCTTCCTAAAGAAGTGCATCTTTTACGTGCCGTAAAGAGTACTCTAAAATGTATCCAGTCTACTGATTAGTCCTGGCCTGGCTCAACTGGTGTGCAGCGGTCATTGAGGAGCTCTTGATTTCATCAGTGACCAGCACACCACGGCCCCTGTGGCATAACCTCCTTTTGAACCCTCTGATGTCCCCAGTGTGCACAGAGGCATGCCTTGCTCGTATTCCAGGGCCCACACCTCATCCCCATCATGAGCAGTTTCATTAAATAGTCTCAGCTCAGTTCTGTACCTTTGAAAGGCAGCTGAGGATACGGAGACCTAGCGAAGGAGAGGACTGTATACAAGGAAGGAGCAAGCCGTGAGCGCTGACGTCAAATTACTTAGCCCTATTTCTGACTCCTAAGCCTGCCTGCCTGGCTTCATTTGGGGCTATATGTCAGAATATATTTGACTGTCCCTGGGAATAAAACCGGAGGCTTCTGGACATTGCTGGCTATGTGTACACTTCCTACCCACTGCTTCGTATACTAAACCACACCGAAAGCTGGGCTCAAGCCCCGTGCTCATGTGCAGACAGTTCTGCTCATGAGACGTGGGCTTTGCATCTCCCTGCTTCATGGTGGGAAACTGGGTTGTGATTCAGAACTGATTAGAAGTAGCCCTGCCCTCCCATGCCTCCTCCACCCTGAACAGGAACCGAGTCCTTCACCCCATGGCCACAATTTGTTCTTAGCAAACTTGAATCCCTGGGAGAAGTGAGGAGGTGATGTATCACATGACATACATCATCCCCTCGCTCCAGTCTCTTCCGTGGACAGAAAGAAATGAGATTGAGGCTAGCTGGTGCCCACACAGGGGAAGCCGCTGTGCTGAAAGGGGATCTTGGATCCTGAAATAAGTTGTTCCAGTGAAAGGAAGGAAGGAGAAGCAGAACAGAGGATGTCACATGGAGGGGACACTCAGCTGACCCTCACCTGGGTTTCAGGATAACACATCAAGGACACATGCGTTATTGATTCACATCAGTGCCCCATCTCAGGGCTCTGGAACAGATGGCCGTGTGTCTGTGGGCATCGGTGATACACTTCAACTTTAGAAACAGCATCTTGCGTATCAGTCCATCTATCCCCGCCCCTCTACGCCTCCTTCCACGTGAACCATCTATCTGCATTGGCTCTGAAAACATTCGCATGTGCTTCCCATGTGCCGGCACAGTTGTTAGCATTTTATACTCATTGATCTCTTGAAGACAACCCCGGGAGCCAGGAAGTGTTGTTGCAGTTGGAAAACAAAAACAAACAAAGAACAGAGAGAGGAGCAGAGAAATGGCGTCATCTCCTAATGGTTCCGAAGGGTTTGAGTTTGGGTGCATTGGCTCTGATCATGTCTGTTAGGCTTCTGGATTCTGAGGTTCCAGGATCCCCAACGTAAATAAGAACCATAACCATTACTCAGGTTTACAGAATGGGAGAACAGAGTCCGCACATCTGACAATGTAGGAGACAATCGACAGATCAGGAAAAGAATACACTCTCTAATGCACCCTTTTACCCAGTGGGTGTCTGCTGAAAATGTGTCTCCAAACACAGCGCTAGCCTTCGTACTTGAGGATTTCAGCATGTGATGAGAAAGACAAAATTCAAGTTCTATGTGATCCATTAGAATTAACTACACAGAAGTCCGTGGGAGCCCTTAGGAATGGTACCAACTCAAGGTCCAAGAAGGCTTCCTGGAGGAAGAGGCACATTGGAGTTGGTGGGGGAGAAATGAGGAAGGGCTTTCTCAGCCGACAGAGAAGGTAAGGGAAAGGCTAGGGGGAGACATGCTATCAGCTCAGCCATGATGGGAGTGATTCCTGCCATGCCCAAGGATGGCAGTGCCTGCCCCATGGAAGTGCTAGGCTGAGAGGGATCTGGAGGTCATGAAGATGGTGTCAGGACCTCCTCCTCCTCAGCCACTCCCATAGTGCCTGATAGCCAGAGATTCCTCCACATCTCTTCAGCTCCTAGGGCTGATGGGTTCATAGAAGCTTTACTCCCATGGGAATACCCTCCCCCGCCGCCCCGAGTGTCCCTCCATTACCCACTTCCTGATGGATTACCCTAGCCAAGAGGAGAGTGGGAATGGCTAGTGAGAATGTTTCTGAAGCAGCAGATGGATGGAAAATTTTCCCAGAGCCACTGTTGACCCAGGTGCAACGTGCTCACATCGGCCGCCACTTGTTCCTTCGGCGGCTGCGGCTGCTCATGGGGTGACTGTGCTCTTTAAAAAGAAATTGGTGGAGAACTGGAGCCTGGGGCCAGATAAGGCAGTCGCTCCAACTCCCAGAAGCCCCTGCAGCAGAAGTTGAAGTTGGCCAACGACCCTCTGAATCGGCTGACCTCCGAGTGCACCGCGGGCATCCTCTCTCCTTGCCCACCCTAAACCCAGCACTGAAAGAGCATGTCCTGGCCCTATAGGCTGACTGCATTTGTTATCCACATTAGGTCCAAGTGCTCCCAACCGTAGCATTGATTGATTGATAGGGAAAGTGGAAAGGCATGTAATGACAGACAGCTGCTTTGCACAGTGTGACTTACGAGATGCAACTTGGTGACTAGTATGTGTTGGCTTATTTGTTATTTAGTGATGCCTGGGGGGGCCTTCTATGTGCCAGGGAAGCACTGTGCCATCAAGCCACAAAACCAGCCATTTTCCTATTTCTGATTTCCTATGAGGGAGGGGTTCCTGATTTCATAAGGTAGTGGGCAGCCAATAAGATCCGCCAGCGGCCCGGGCTATTAGCTGAGGGCTTCCTGCTCCTTTCCTGCTGAGATTTCTTTGCATCTCTCATAGAGGACGGGGATGTCAGGTGAATGAATAAACTGCCATATGTGTGAGGGTACTGCTCCTACCAGATGAAGGTGGAGAGGCCTGCGGTGCCGCATTAGAGAGCCTTGTCCCGGGGACCTTTGGCTCTGTGTACCTGTGTCCCCACAGCCTCCCTGTAGGGCACACTGATCTGTGACCCCCTCCTCCTCACAGTATGTCAACCCCGCCTTTGAGAGGATGATGGGCTACCACAAAGGGGAACTTCTGGGGAAAGAGCTGGCTGACCTACCTAAGAGTGACAAGAACCGGGCAGACCTCCTGGACACCATCAATACGTGCATCAAGAAGGGAAAGGTGGGTGGAACCAACAGCTCACCCACACTCCTCCCTTAACGTCCCCCCCTCCCCATTCCGGCTGGATGTTTTAGTTTTTTATCTTTAAGACTGACTTCTTTGGTAGCATCAAAGTTCCGTGAAAGAACTTCAGTTTGCAGTTTGCAAAAGGAGTTGACGGGTTAATTGTTGATGCCAACGTGATAATGCGGGAGCTGATTGTTTTCTGGACAGGTCACTTGACCCCTTGCATGGATAATATACCCCCACCTAGCCTAGCACTGCATCCCTGAGCAGGGTTCTACCCCAGATAGCTGCTTTCCACTCTTATTGATGTTTGGTAGGCGGGGCTGGAAGGACCTGAGCTCCGCACTGACTGGGAGGTAGGCCCTGTTGATTTAGTTGGCTATCTTCCATCTTCCTGCTGCTCTCTTTACTCACTCCTGTAAACTATCCATGGGTAACTCTTCCTCCCCAGCCTTCCCTGCCCCAACCTCTGTATTTTCCCGCTTCTTCTGGGGGAGGTGACGGGACAGTGGAGGTGAGAGAGATGTTTCCTGGGCAGTCGCTCCCCTCCCTCAGAGCTGCAGCGACCTCTTGCTTCTTCTGAGGCGTCTAATGCTTCTTCACACATGGCTTGGCTGTCTTCTTCTCTGCGTTGTGCAGTCGTTAAGCATCGTCTTCACTGGAGATGGGCGCGCTAGCCGGGGTAGAATAAATCTAGATTATAAGAATGTCCAAATTACTTGTAAAATCAGATCTATTCGACTTGAAAATGAAACAGGATATTGTAAACTACTCCATATTTTTTTTTTGCCAGAATAACCCAGCCACATGTGGCAAATACTCCTTATCCACTTCATATACAAGAGAGAGCAAAATATGGCTGCAGGAAACCTCAGTTTCAGTGTTATCTACGCCCTTCCAGAAACAGTGGAGAAAACTCCCCACCCTGAGGCTTCCTGCCTCTTTATTCCGGCCTAGTTCCCAGGATCCTGTGGCAGCAGGAATCTTCTCCTTTCCTTGGTACCATCTTATGGAAACTGCAAGGGACCATAGTGACTCTTGGGTGGGAGGCCCCTCGGGCCCCAGAAAGCTGAGGCACTTTGAGAAGGATAAAAGAACTACACAGTTATAAACAGATCCTTTGTTTCCCTGTCTGGGCAAGGTAGTTGGACTCTCTGAGCCTCAGTTTCCCCATCTGTAAGTTAAGGATGATTGTATCAGGCCCACAGGTTGTTGTGAAGATTTTGAGACTGGCTACTGAACTCTGACACGGTGGCACCCTGAGGGAACTCCAGCTGGTGTGTAGCCAGCTGTCCTGGAACTCAGGATAGGCAACTTGGTGGTGCACACACCGGCCTGGGGCTCTTACACTTGGACCTTGTGATCTTGATAACGTTGTTGTGGGTACAACCGTACAGCAGTTTGGTGACGTGTAACGGAAGTCTGTGGGAAGTGCTGACTGAGCCTGTAAAGACGCAGTGGGGGAGCAGCTGTGGTCTCGACAGGAGGATCTCAAGAGCTCTCTTTGTCCATGTAGGAGTGGCAGGGGGTTTACTATGCCAGACGGAAATCCGGGGACAGCATCCAACAGCACGTGAAGATCACCCCAGTGATTGGCCAAGGAGGGTGAGAGCGACCTCTTCCACTCTTTCTGCTGCAGATAAGGGCTCAGGCCCTCAGGGGCGTCGTCTGGCACGCTGAAATGCCATTGCAAGGTGCAGGACGAGATGCACAGTAGCATTTGCCCTGTCTGACGTGGCCAGCAGCAATCTCCAGACATGGTTTCCCTCTGCCCCCACCCCTGTCTCCTGTTCATGGGCTTTCATGTGGCATCAGCCCTATCCCCAGCTATCCACCTGCTCGTGAATGGCCCCATTGTCCCCAACACCTCTCAGGGTCTCTGGCTGTCCTTCCCCTTGGCAAGTGAACAGCGGCCAGCACTACTGGCTTCTGCCCTCAGCCTACGGGTGCCGACCTTCTCTCTTTGAGGCCCCAGTTTGTTCCATATTGACTCTGAGCTCGTGCGAGGTGTGCCAGATGGGACCGCTAACTATATCCCACTAATGAGCCTTGCAACCAGTATGAAGGTCAATGCTACCTAATGGTTTGACCTTGTAAGGGATATGTGATGTGTGACATATTGGTGAAGAAAAAAAGATAGTGGTTACCAGGAACCAGATAACCCATGTCACATGTAGTTCCTAGGACCAGCTGAGTTCATTTCAGATCATCATGGGATTAGAAAACCAGCCCATTCCATAAGATCGCCCATCTATTCGAAGGTTGTTTCTCTCCCGTTTTCCTTGCTGGATTAGCTTAGAAATTGTTCTCCGGTCACTTGAGAGGCCACAGCCTCGTGTTGCTTTTGTGTCTCCTCTCCGGCTGGCTTCTGGAGTCTGTGGGTCCCGACAGGGCTCCTAAGCAAGGCTTGTCAACCATGGAGAGAGGCTGCCTGCTCCTGGGCGCTGGCTCAGCTTAGCAATCCCAACAGCGGCAGAGGCTGTCACATTGTCCTTATGGCCACCCTTAGATTGTCTTCTTGGGAAAAGGAAGCCGAGTCCTTTTCTGTGTGTTTGACAAGAATCGGTGGGTCATCAGAGTGGAGGTGACAATGCTCTTGCCTGGTCAGTCTCTATCAGAATAAATTTTTTTTCCCCTGATTTTTTTCCCCTTCCTATTTCCTTTTATCCAGACATGATTTTGTGTTATTTTCCCTAATTGTAGACAGTGAGCTCTCAGAGGCAGTGCCGATTAAAAAAAGGGACATTTTTACCCCTTCTGGCTGGGTGATGTTCATACGATAGGATCCATCAGTGTTTTCCCATGCTGCCGTCAGAGAATCCTCCAGGGTAAAGTGAACCAGGAAGAAGGAAGAGACAGGGAAGAAGGGGTGCTCAGAGGCATCTGGGGTGTGCAGTCCTACATCCTGCACTTCACTAGCTTTACTCTCAGGCGAGAATCTACCTCGAGCTGACTTGCATGGGGCTAGTGGACCGGGCGTCTTTTGTCCTATCCCCCTTGTGATAATGGGCAAGACCACAGGCTACATTCCTGGACTCAGTTCATGACTTTTTAATCAGAGGATTTTTTTTCCTCTGGCTGAAAAACAAACGAACAAAAAACCAAAACAAAACAAAAATGCCATCCTTCTGATGAACCACAGCGTGCAGAGTAGTAGGATTAAAAGAACACCAGTGTCATCATTACCGTGACCCGTAGTGTGCCATACAGGATGTTTAAAAGAGAAACAGCCACCAGTGAAATTTGGTCCCTGTCCCAACGAGCCTTTTTGCTTTCCATGTAAGCAATGAAATATTAGGGTCCGCAGAATTAAAGCCTGTGTGCCGTGACAGCATGTCAGTCTCTCCCGAAGAGATCCAGGAGTCAGCCTGCAGTCCGGGAGGAAGGTGTGGCCACACCAGCTGGGGTTGCAGGGGGGCCAGGCTTCTGGAGGAGAAGGAGGTTTGGTGGCCAGGCCTGCACGGGGAAGGGCCTGGAGCTCAGCTCTGTCGTGTCCATGTGCTGCTGCCTCACTGCATCGTCTTCTTCCTGACTAATCCCTGACTGTTTATGTTATCAGGAAAATTAGGCATTTTGTCTCCCTCAAGAAGCTGTGCTGCACCAGTGACAATAACAAACAGGTACAGTATTCAGTGTTCTCTGCCGCCCGTCAGCCTGCCCGTGCGTCACGCTCGCCCCGTTCTCTGCTTGTCTTTCTTTCTCCATAGTTTCCTGTAATTGCTACCGAAGGTGTGTGGGGAGACCTCTGGCAGGCCTTTTTTTTTTAAATCCTGTTCTCCACAAGCCTGTCTCACTTTGTTAGGAGTGCGCTTTGGTTGTGCTGTGCCTCACGGCTCTCTCCAGGCTAATACATTTTATGGGAACATAAGATTCTTCCTCAAAACCAAAAAGTAAAAGAAAAAAATGTTCCATTTCCTATCTTCATTTCTTAAACAAATGAAAAGTATCTATGCATGTGAGCATTCACTCCTCCAGCTAGCAGCCAAAATAAGAACCGTTCCAAATTAGCACTGTGATTTTTTCCCCCCTTACATTACATCATGGAGAGCAGTCAGTGCATTTTGAGTGCTGTCTTCTGAAGTGACAGAAACTTAGCAAGCTTTTAGTTTTAAGAATGTTTTAAGGGAGCCGGGCGGTCGTGGCACACGCCTTTAATCCCGGCCCTTAGGAGGCAGGGGCAGGAGGATCTCTGTGAGTTCGAGGCCAACCTCGGCTACAAAGTGAGTTCTAGGAAAGGCGCAAAACCACACAGAAAAACCCTGTCTCGGAAAACCAAAAAAAAGAGAATGTTTTAAGGAAGTTTTATAACGTTACAGTATTATGTGAAGTGTGAAGTATTTTTATGAGATTTATATTTTTACTATTTGATCATGTAGTTTCCATCTCATACCTTATAATTTATGGACTATGATGTATGAAATAAATATGGTTATCAATGAGCTACTTTTAATGCATAAAATATGACGTTTGACTTTGGCTTTCAAAGAAGGGACAAGTGTCTCTTAGGAATTTCGAAGGCACCTGGGGTATAACCCATCCTTTCCTCACAGAGTGGGGACAACGGGGCGGGGGGGGGGGGCAGGATGAGGTGTGGCCAGGTGAGGAGCTAAGCTGGCAGGCAGCAAGACAGAAGCCCCCAGGGTTCCTCTTAGAGAGGGGCAGAGGGGCTGAATCACGTGACCTTCATGGAGCCCCAGATGTCAAAAGTATCTGTGGTATATGCTTGGCTCCTAAGATTGAGTCCAACCAAACCATGCCCTTCCCCACTGAGAACCTAATCAGGGTCAGGAATGACTCTGCTAATAGCACACGGCCTTGGAAAGGAAGTGAATGGATTGTCACAGGGAAAAAGCATCATCAGACAGCCACACTGAGGCACATCGGAGGAAGAATGAGGTTGGCATGGGAGGCGATTAGCAGAGGGAGAGGGACATGTAATCCTGGTGTGTCCCCTTAGAGATGGACTTCTGTACACATGTGAAGCGGTGCAGGCCACCATTTTCAGCCTCTGGACCCCGAGAGGGGACAGGGCGACTTAGTCCCATCCGTTCTCAGGCCAGAAGCTAAGCAGGGACAACACATGTCCAAAATCCAGCATGCTCTTCTCCCACAGAAGCTGTGGCAGAGGCTCCAGGTCAGGCTCCATGCAACGTCAAGGTCAGCTCATGGCCTTGCACTTTAGGAAGGGATGGAGCTGAAAGTCAGGCAGGTCCCATCTCTCCTCCTCACGCCCCTCCTTCCTGTCTTTCTCATCGAGTGAAGCAGTTTCCAGTGCCCCTGTTATCAGTCCCTCTATCTCCACATCCCCCACTTCTACCGGTCCTTCATGGCTCAGCCCAAGGATCATGAGGTAGCACTGTCTTCCCCAGACCCCCAAAGCCCCTTCCTGGCTTTGTCTCCCTCTGCATTGTCATTGCTGTCTCTGTACTCAATGGCCCTCCCCTCTCCAGCAACGTCACGGGCCTTGTGTGCCCAGCTGCCAGCACATAGTAGGCCTAGGGCTGTTGGTTAACTTGGGGGCAGTGGAGTATCTCAGTCCTGGCCTCCTGTGAACCCTGCCTGCTGCCCACAGGGAGCGGGCAAGCCATTAGCATAGGATGCCAGGACACGGAGGCTGCCTCTCCTCTGTAGCTCTAAATAGAAACCCCTTTGCCACCATGAATCAGTTGCTGTTCTGAGAAGAGTGAAAACACAGAGCTTGGATCCCCGGAGCCATTGACGTCACCTAATGGTGCTGCACAGGCCTAAGAGACTCTTAGATTTTCCAATAATAAAGCAACTTGTCCCTCTGGCTGGCTACAGTACTTGTCTTTATCCCCAAAGAAGGCTGAAGCCATGGAGATGGCTCCGGGCTGGGGAGGGCTCTGAGGGCAGAGCAGACTGTCTGCAGGCATTCGTTCTGAGGTGCTGCTTCTGGGGTCCAGTGCTGATGTCAGAGTCAACCCGTGGGCTCCCATTTGAACAGGGAATGGAGCCGTGTGCCAGGCAGTTTACTTCTGGTCATGCTTGTCATCCTCGAAGATTCTTTTTTCATCTCTGAGCCCTGAGCTTTCTGCCAAGAGGCTGGAAAGCTCAGCAAGATTTGTCTGCTGCACATGCCTGCTCCCTTCACATATGCTGTCCCCAGAGCCTCACCAGACACGTGTTCATCACGGGCACCCAGAAGCCATGGGCCAGAGACAGGTAAACAGAGTAAACAAAGTGTAGCCCAGAGGGAGAGAAACTTAAACTGGACAGGTACCAAACCCCAGGTCTGGGGAGGCTGGATAAGGTATCTGTTGGGGCATGGAGGACCTGAGCCTTTAATGCCTCCAGTATTTACTATCTGACTCTTTACAAGAAGGTATTTGCTGACCTCAATTCTAGAAGATAATTTTCTTCCCTGCATTTCCCACTTGCTTCCAGCATTCACAGCTTAGGTTTCCCAGACATTTCCCAGACTTACCCAGTCACACAGATGTTGGACATCCTTTATCTTCACGTCACCCCTGCATCCTGTCTCAGAGCCCGTTGGTCTCTTTCTACTGCCGCATAAAGCATGTAAAACTCTAGGTCCCTTAATTCATTCTCACAAGGTCAGACTCCAAATAAGAAACCATGAGTAAAACTGCAGGAATGCCAGCCCTGCACAGCCAGGGCCCAGGCAGATTTGAATAGGGGAGGGGTGTGGAAGCCATTACCCTGCCAACTGTTCCTGAACTGGCCCAGGGCCTGGCCTTGAGGCAGGAAGCCTTCTTGAAAGCAGAGGGTCCTCTTCACTGCTGGTTCTCCACACCTGAGTGCTTGCTCGTTCTTCTCAGTCTCGAATGGGAAAATATGGTAAATGTGGTCACTGCAAAAGCCGGTGTGCTTGAATCTGTGGGGAGAAAGCACTGGAAGCCAGCGTGAGGGAGGACAGGGCTGCAGTGTGCAGTATCCATCAGTCTTCTTGTAGCAGTATGACACATGGGGCCATGGAGGAGCCATTGGGGAGGAGCCATTGTCTCCCATGCGACAAGGGTGTAATTTCCTTAAAGAGTCAGGGAGCACAGCTCCCTGGAGAGAGCCTCCCATTCCACAGTGGGTGTTTGTGAGGAGGGGGGAGAAAGCAGCCAGGCTCAGAGGAAATGTTCCGCCAATCAACCATCCAGGTTGGCCGTTGATGGAGTACGGAAGGCAGCCACTCTGGCCCAATGTTACACAGTGCTTCACAGAGCTAGACAGTGGGGTCCCTACTTCTAGAACCCCCTTGGCCCCCACCTCCACCTCCCTTCATAGAAGAACTCTTGTTTCCACTCACCTGGCCTCAGAACGGAAAGCAGCTATTGAACCCAATAAGCTAGGCCACTTGGGAAACCTCAGCGCTTCTACTACAATGAGACACCAGCCTGGGTACTGATGCTTGGGGAATCACAGTGTCAACAACCCATCATCTTAGCCATAGCTCCCTTGAGAACGGTGGGGGCGGAAACGAGAGCTGAGGCGGCCAAGCCTGTGATGATAAAACCTTACTTTGAGGTACAGATTTTTTTTGGGGGGGGGTGGAGGCATTGCTAGAACTGTGAAGTCAGAATGTCCTCTAGGGTGGCCCCAGCACCCGCTCTTGTTTGAGATCTAATGGCCAAGGTGAGTGGCTTCAACGTTCAGGGGCAGCAACTAGCCCTGACTGATGGCTAACTGATCACTGGTCCGAGAGCAGAGTCTGTGCTGGGTTTAAAAGTCAAAAGGACTGTCTGGCGCATCGACTTCACCCTCCAGGCCTCTCCCTGCCAAACAGACTCCATGTTGAGTTTGACCCTTATATAAAGCCGTTAATGTCTCACGTGGCATTACAAACAATATCTGCATATTCTTCAAGGTGCACACCCAAGTGTGACTCCTTACAGTTGAGGAAAGAAGGCTACCCTAACTTCAGTGGCCTCTGCGAGTGGCCACGCCCATTTAGGAGTGAGCTCTCTGTCACTGATGTGCTACCACGAGGCAGAGTTTAGATGTACGTGACTTGCAGCAGGTGTCCCGAAATAGTTGTTGACATGTTTGGGAAAAGCCACTAAATCAACAACATGACCCACATTTTTCCATTTAGCTGCCGTATATATATTTATTTATATGAAACTATTTGAGGAAAGGCCTCTGATATTGGAACAGCACATTTTGAGCAGGCAACCCACGAGCACCGAATGGAGTGCCTGGTAGCTGGAGGTGCTGAGGGCACCAGACACAGAACAGGGAAGGGGCACACAGACGGGACCGTGGGGGCACTGTGGTTGCTCCTGCAGGATTGTGGGCATGGAAGGTCTTGGCTCCGAGAGGACAAACAGTTTTAGTCTGGTGGTGGTGGTGGCTGATAAGGCTGGTTGTGACGGGCTTTGTGAGGCTCCGTGGTCTGATGCTGAGAGAGTACATTGCCTAGCAAAGGGAAGGGTCACCTGAAGACACCTGAGGACCTCCACTGAGCACACTCAGAAGGTCATTGTTCAGGTAACGGTAGACCAGCATTATGGGATTAATCCACGGAGTCTATTTCATGATCAAAGGAATTTATATGGGGGTAAACTCACAACCACGGGAGATTTATCGTAGGGTCCAGGAAAGCTGAGCTACGTTCCACACTGAACGGCTTGGTCCCAGATCTCAGTAT